CTTGGCCTGCTGTGTTCATCCAGCTCTACACCTTGTTATCTCAGATTCTCCAGCATCTGCAGTTCCTACTATCTCTGTATATACAAAGATTTTTTTAGGAAAATATAAAAAAAGGTTGCTTATCAGCCTCCAAATCCTGCCTGTTGGCAAGTGCTCAGTCTGGGACAGTGTCCCGCTCAGCTATTCTGCAGGAGGCAATGGCACATCATCTCAGGATTTTACCCATCAGCAAGGAAGTCTACGGCCAGAAATGAACACGGGAGAAAAGACAGTAGTGAGTATGGATCCTGAAGAGATTAACGAATAAACATTATTGACTAAGTTATTTTTTAATGCTGGTGGAAAGTTGCTGGGTGTTAACATCAGACTCGTAATAATTGCCTATAGATAATCACAGCACCAGTAGAAATAATCTCCAATTTATCAATATTGTTGTCAAGGTTCAATAGTGGAAGTACCATTGTCTTCACAAATGTCTTTAATAGTTCAATGTGTCCACACAGCTAGAATGTGGGTGCAGGCTGGCTTCTTCAGAAGAAGGATCCTGACCCAAAATGTCAACTTTCCTGCTCCTCTGATGCTGCCTGGCCTTCTTGAACTGCTGTAGCCTTTGGGACATAGGGACATACAAAGTTCTATTAGGAAGAGAGTTCCAGGAATTTGACCCCACAATGGGAAAATCAGCAATTTGGTTCAAGTTGTGGATTAGAGGGTAACTTGTAGGTGGTGTTCTCACATATCCACTGTCTCTGCCCTTCTAGGTGGTAGAAGCTTGGGTTTTATATGTGCTGGTAAAGGAGCCTTGGTGAGGTGCTGCAATGCATCTAGTAAATGGTACACACCTCTGCTACTCAGCATCAACGAGAAAGTAAGTGAATGCTTGTGGATGTTGTGCTTTGTTTTATATTGGTATCCAGCATCTTGAGTGTTGTTGGAGCTACACTCATCCTGGAAAATCACACTCCTGACCTGTGCCTTGTAGATGGCATACAGTCCTTAACGGGTTACTCACTGCAGGATTCCTAGCCCCTGAGCTGTTCATGTAATCACAGCATTTATATGACTGATCCAGTTCAGTCTTTAGTCAACGGAAGCCCCAGGATGTTGATAGTGGGAGATTCAGCGATGGTAATGTCATTCAATATCGAAGAGCAATATTTGGATTCTCTGCCACTATCAGCCCAAATCTGATTGAAATATAGAGTCACACAGCATGGAAACAGACTCTTTGATCCAACACGTCCATACCGACCAAGGTTCCCAAACTAAACTAGCCCCTGTGTTTGCCCCATATCTCTCTCAACCTTTTATGTTCATGAACCTGTCCAAATATCTTTCAAATGGTATAACTGTAGCTGCATCTACCACTTCTTGAGGTACTTCATTTCACATACAAACCATCCTCTGTGTGAAAACGTTGCCCCTCAGGTCCCTTTTAAGTATTTCTCCTCTCACCTTAACATATGCCCTCTAGTTTTGACCTCCCCTATCCTATGGAAAAGACCTTTGCTGTTCACCTTATCTATGCCTCTCATGATTTTATAAAGCTCTATAAGGTCACCCCTACTGTGTGATTTTCCAGGATGAGTGTAACTCCAACAACACTCAAGATGCTGGACATCAATATAAGACAAAGCACCACATCCACAAGCATTCACTTCCTTTACCATTGATGCTAAGTAACAGCAGTGTGTACCATTTACAAGTTGCATTGCAGCATGTCACCAAGGCTCCTTTGACAGCACATATAAAACCCGAACCTCTACCACTTAGAAAGGCAAAGACAGCGGATATGTGCTCCAGTGAAAAGAGTCCTAGCCTATCCAGCCTCTCCTCATAACTCAAACCTTACAGTCCCAGCACCATCCTGGTAAATCTTTTCTGAACCCTTTCCAATTTAATAATTCCGATAGCAGGGCAACCAGAAATGTGCGCTGTACTCCAAATATGTCCTCATCAACATATTGTACAACTGCAACATGACATCTCAACTCCTATACTCAATAGTCTGAGCAATGAAGGCAAGCATACCAAATGCCTGCCTGACCACCCTGTCTACCTGTGACATGATCTTGCTGCATTTGGACATGGACTGCTTCAGTATCTGAGAAGTCGGAAATGGTGCTGAACATTGAGCAATCATCAGCAAACATTCTTAATTGTGACCTTATGATGGCAGAAATGTCATAGATAAAGCAACTGAAAATGGTTTGGCTTAGGACATACTCTGAAAGACTCTTACAGAGATGTCCTGGAGCTGTGAGATAGCAAGAACTGCAGATGCTGGAGTCAGAGACAACACAGTGTGAAGCTGGAGGAACACAGCGGGCCAGGCAGCATCAGAGGAGCAGGAAAGTTGACTTTCGGGTTGGGACCCTTCTTCTGAATTCTGACCCAATTCTGCCACTGTCAGCCCAAGTCTAATAGAGATATAGAGTCAAACAGCATGGAAACAGTCCCTTTGATCCAACTTGTCCATACCAAACAAGATTCCCCAACTAAACCTCCAGCTCCACACTGTAGTCCTGGAGCTGTGATGGCTGACCTCCAATAATCAGAGATTCTTTGTGCTGAGTTTGACTTCAACCAGCGGAGAGGTTTCCCCTTGATTCTCACCAACTCTGGTTTTGCTAGGGTTCCTTGATAACATACTTGGTCAAAAGTGGCCTTGATGTCAAGGGCAGTCACTATAACTTCCACTGTTGGGTTCAGCTCTTTTGTCAGTATTTGAACCAAGTCAGGAAGTGACTTAGTAGGACCCAAACTGAGCATCAGTGAGCATGTTATTGCTAAGGAGGTGATGCTTAGGAACACTGTTGTTTACCCCTTCCTTCACTTTTTTGATGATCAAGCATATTCTAATGATTCAGATCATTGACTGAGTTAGATTTGACCTGGTCTTTGAGTCCAGGACGTTGATGGACAATTTTCCACATTGCTGGATAGATGTCAGTGTTGTAGCTGTACTGGAACAGCTTGGCTAGGGCCACAACAAGTTCTGGAGCACAAGTCTTCAGCTGGAATCTTGTCAGGGCTTATAGCTGTTGCAGTATGCAGTGTCTTCAGCCATTTCTTGATATCACTTAGAGTGATCAAATTAGCTGAAGACAGGTATCTGGGATGCTAGGGACTCTGGAGGAGGCCGAGATGTAAATGCTTCAGGAAATTAACATAAAGTTATTTGGAATGTCTAATTAAATATCACTTCCAAAAACCCTAGATAGAGTGAGAAATGTGAAGTCTCAAAAAATACTTGATCATCTGTCCTTACATATATATTTATAATCGTAACTGCCATTTTGAACTGGATATATTTAATTAATAAATGCTTCCTGAAAAATAAATCCATTGTTTACAAAGGATTACATAGGATATATCGCACAGAACAGGCCATTTGGCTCAATCAGTCCATGTTTCACTTGAGCCTCCTCCAATTTTTTCTCATCTAATTCTATTATCGCTACCCTCTATCCCCTTCTACCTCATAAGTCCATCTAGCTTCCCTTTAAATGCATCTATATTATTCACAATTCACTTCAGCCACTTCCTGTGGTCATGAGTTCCACATTCTCACTGCTCTTTGGGTAAAGTAGTTTCTTCTGAATTCTCCTTTGGATTTCATGGCGCTTTTGTAACATTTGAGACCCGTAGGTATGCTCTTCCCCACAAAAAGAAACAGAAACTACTATATTAAAACCTTTTATAATTTTAAAGACCTCTGCTGATCATCGTACAGCCATCCTTTCTCAAGAGAAAAGAACCCCAGTCTGTCAATTATTAATCGATCCAATGAAGCCAG